GGGAACGTCCTCTCTGGAAACCAGGTTGAAAATCCCGCAGTATGCTATTTTCTTCGCACAACTACTGTGTAGCGCTCTTTTCTAGAGCAACCAGCGTTTTTCATAAGAAACAAGTTAAGTTTATAGGCCGAAGCTGCTTGCTGCCATCCTACTACCGACCTTATGCAGGGGAACGAGGTTAGCTGTCTTCCACTGTGATGGCAGCCTGCCTGTTCTCATCAAAAGCTCAAGGAGAGTCGAAGGAGGCTTTGACTGCTCCGTTGATAGGTCCTCAAGTATCAGCAAAGGAATTCCATGGAGCTCAGGAGACTTATCTGGTTTTATTTAACTGAGAACGCGTCTAACTTCTTAGACGCAAAAGGCAACGGTTTCAATGACGGCAGTATCTTGGCGCATTTGAAGCTCCCGGCTGTCTCGGTCTATTTAGAACTGCTTATTTTCTTCTGAGGACTCCTCCGTAAAAACCGATTAGAAAAACTGAGACAGTAATTGCACTTTCAGTGGCTCTTCAGCAAATAAGTTTTCGAGGCTATTCTTTAGACACGCAATTTCGTCCCTATGTTTTCTCCTACTGCGGAAGTATCGATAAGAGTTCTTGGGCCATGAAAATTATTCTGCTGTCAGTTAACGCTCGAAAGAAGTTCTAGCAACCCGTATTTTTTTAGCGACATTTATTTTGCTGCACCTTATATTTAGCGAATGACATTGGATCTCGAATTTGCAAATTTTGAAAGTGTTTTGCACTAGACAGTGTTGCCACAAACTCTGTTGAATGCTTCTTACGCATATTTCTTTACCTATCTACCTTCTCGTAATATGTTTGCTGAGGAGTCCCCTTTTGCGAACAATGCAAATCGGGTCATTATTGGGAGTTCATTTCACTGTGTCAACACAGCCTTTTAAAGTCATGAGGGCATTGAAGATCACGTTCTCGTGGTATTTACCAATAGAGTCTGAAAACGAACGATATAAACGAACATTCCAAATTCAGGTAAAGACGCCGGAAATTGGTTGCACAGCCAGCCATATCCCTGCTTCTATTGCGTCTTCCTGAAAGACGTTTATGACACTTCTGAAAACACGTTTTTTCATGGAAGTTTTATCTGTAACTAGGGTAAAAACGATCACGTAGTAGTTCTTAAACTGGGAAGGGAGAATGAACAAACATTGGTCCAATGGTGTTTTTGGCTGGATAAACTGCAATCAGGTTACCCGTAAACACTTAACAGTTATTATGTTATTTCATGAAATTTTAACTAAAACTTTAGAATTTTGCGACTCGCAAAGATTACGTAAGTAGGAATCAAATGTAATTTATCGTGCAGCATAATCCAAAGATGCTTCAGCCCGAAGGTGCTGTCCCTTACATAAGGTTCGTTTCGGACGTCTGAAAAACTGAAAATAGTGTTAATTTTTCTCGTCGATTTTCGATGCACTGATAAGTTCAGGCATATTATATTGCAGCCATATACAAAATTTCCCTCCTTGTATTCATTCGGTAGCAAGTGACGAGTTCTTTAAATTTTGTACATGACAAGAAACTTGTATGCCTAAAGGCAGCCCATTCAAAGGCCAGAATCTTGACGTGACTGGAATATCTCAGGATTATGTTGTAATTAACGCAGCAAATTTATTTAAGCAGTCTTTTCAAATCGAGAACATATTTAGAATTTCAGCCAACATTTCATGAGAAAGTGCATCTACTGTATACTATTACAACCTGTAAACGCATGCATCGCATCAAGTTTTAGGAGGGATTGTGTTATTCACTCCCCGTGTTGAATGTCATAAATACCGAGTAAATACAATCATGCCGAAAACTGTACGAATAATTGCAAAGCCTTTCCGTGGCGCGCTATGCGAACCTCTATTTTCAACCCCCAAATGATGAATACTGTCAGTTTTTAGAGCGTGTATTGCTGCATGGATTGTTGTAGGTCAGCCTGCCCATGACAGATTGTATATATTGGAGTTTCAACTCTGAGGCTTCCGGAAGATCTCTCTAATTCGTAGATGAATGGCTGTAAGCAAGTCTAGCCTCTGTTCACTACTTTAGTACATCTGCACTTGCGACGGCAGTTCTCTGACACATCAGTTAGACACAGACTCGAAGAGATTGCAAAATCCGAGGCCGAAATCCTCAGTACCTCCATTTCAAATAATCCAGCGGACAAAGGTGGTTGAGTCTACTGATGAAGGCCCCAGGTTGAGAAGACCTCAATCAATATCTCAAATCCTGTTGAATCGTTTTTGATAAGGGGCAACACCTTGACAAAGCACTTTAAAAAACAAAGTATTGTTCTTACATGGCAAACTGGTATTTTTGCGTCGGTCAAAAAATTGACAACGGCCTAGGGTTTTAAGACATTTAAATACGTTGATCGTTTACTTTTAGCAAAATATCATGGAAAAACAACCACAGATTACTAATAGAGAACATGTTGGAGGGTTTAAATAAATATCCGCCAGCTTGAAGCCTATAATGCGATGTCGATACTTTACATGCTCTCTTGCAAATTTTAAAAATTTCTGTCCTGAAGATGTTGGACACAGGTGTGAATTATACAACGATAGCTTGCGGTCGAAAAGGATGTTTTTAAATGCGTCGGTAAAACATTCGATCTGCGTCACCATGTCAGTAACTTTCCATGAAATGCGTGCAAAAAGCGATATTCTTACGCACTTCAATCGCTAATTGACTTCAAAAGAAGGCTCCAGAGAAGTAAAACGGCATGGATACAATGGAGTCAGACATGTCCTTAATATGACATGTTGGATCCATAAAGAGCGCACAACGTATCTTCATCTTGGATAGAGCAGAAAGCGAGATTTAATCTGCGCTCAGAAGGACACTACTTAACCAGTGTTTACTCAATCCTGATCGACGAATATGTTAAGCAGAACAGTAACTTGCCCATTTTTCGACAGACAATAAGCGCCGTATCATTGCCGATAAAGTTATGTAATGCAATTTACTCAAACACAGCTCGCGATGTGTGATATCCCATTCCTATGACCATCTGTTTGTTTATTGGCCCTAGCAAACTCGAAGTTAAAATTCCTTTTGAATTCCTAAAACGGACAGCTCTTTTTCCAAAACCTAGTTGATGACTTCTGATTTGTAGCCTGATAATTTCGAAGTGGTGAAAGACATGTTGCTCTACCTCTTTATTAATATCTACGCAATGATTTATTTTTTGCTTGCGTCCGACTACAAATTATCCCAGTTCAGAGAAAACCTCTTATAAACTAGAAACTTGCGCATATATCTTTTTACAGTCACATTATACGGTAGCCGGTTTGAACAGTTATCGTCACTTTTTTGAAGAAGGGTAGTTTATCTTTCATATGGAATTTAAGAATTCCGTAAATTATAATACAGTAACTGCTACTTGAAAAACATAAGCAAAACCAGAAATCCTGCTGATAGCTAGGAATATATGGCCGAAGATTTGAGAGCTAAGTTGAACGCAAATCTACACAGGCCCTTCAAATGCGGAAGATAACTAACGTTAGCTAGCAAAAGTAATCAACAAGGACCATATTAGTTTTCCCTCGAGGGCTCTCCATTTATCAAAAACGAAGTAACAAAATTAGCCAAAGAGAAGAGTTTATTTGGCTGCAGAGCATGCACGGATAAGAGAATGTCTTGAGGAAGCCGCGTGATCGATCGTATCTAACAGCCGCTGACTCGAGTAAATACGTGTCAGTGCGACTCTTTGCTTTCGCCCGGTCGGAGATAAAGAACGACATTTCGCTTCACAGGTCACACCCTGAAAGGGCGTTTCGCTGTAATGCGTAGTTGCAAATCCATGATGACGTGAAGAAGACGGTAACGTCCCCAAATAACCATTCTTACAGTATATATATTGTCCGCAGACTCAGAAAAACCTGTCGTCAGTCCAAATTCAGCAAGGCCGATTCCCCAACTTTCATTATGCATTTCTAAGGAAACTTCAAAACATCAATATATGACAGCTGTGCCGTAGGCCTCCGTATTCTCGCGTTCTCATCATCTTGAGCTGTAGTCTCAACGAGTTCGAATTCGAAATTGTCCCATGCCACTTTTTTTGAATTCCTACGGAACTTTCAAAAAGTTAGTCGGATGAACGCACATCTTCACTCTATGCTTTGACCAGTCTCATCGATGTAACTACACTCGCCGCAGATGCATTGTGACCGATATAAATCACTTCTACGAACATTACGCGTTTCAGAAGTCTATGTAGCCTTTTAGACCCTCATGAATACAGATGTACGATCAAAGTGTCCAACAAGCATTTTAGCGAATTCATTCTTGGCTGAGTTTAGTAAAGATTTCTAAACATAAATTAATTGACTTAAGCGAGGTATAGTTCACACGATCTCCGCCACGGATGTCTGTTTATGACCCGAAATGTTTGTGCAAAATTCTCATTCGTGATATGAATTCTGCGACATTCAAATCAATATAACGAGAGCATACTTCTTCAGTTATAAGCGAAATCTTATTCTGATGCTTATAATCTTCAAGTTGAAGATCAAACTGCATACAAAACGCATTCCGATGTCAAATGAATAAACCAATATTTCCTATCTGCTGTTGGCTATTCAATTGAAACTACATTTTTAAAAACAATTAAATGAGTTAAATACAAAGTCCATATTTATGCCGAAATTATCTGCAAATTCAACTTTTAAAATCGGACTAAAGTAACTATTTTAGCCATTCCATCCGCTGTGCAAAACATCAGCGGGTATTTAACATCTATGCACTCAATGAAAAACATTCAAGAGAATTCCTCATTTCATGATGGCAGTCAAAAATTATTTACGATGGACACGAAGTTGCGTAGTGTCCTTTTCCGACCATCCCCATCAAGACTGCGGACGCTTTTACAAAACGCGCCTACTGTAATGTCGCAGAAAATTAAATTAAAGCGTAAAACAGTTTGTTTTATAATATTTTTATTGTTTCAACGGACATTCCATTACAGGAAGATTAAATTACATTTCACTCCTCAGCAGCAGAAGTGGGGAGCCTTGGGACTTTTAACTGGGTAGCACTTTTTTGGAGCTAAAAGTTTATGTTAGATTCTATAATATCAGAAAAGACACTTACGGCATCCGCTTCCTGAAGTTGGCCCACTAACACAAAGATATTCTTGATGTAGACTCAGTGGGGTCTCGTTGTGGGCGAAGTACGTTAGGTTTCCACGATCTTTTCCACCACACCTAGGCATGTTATTTACTGTGTTTAGTGATAGCTTTACCGGAACTTAATCTTCGACTTCCTATGCCGACAATTATATGGTCAAAAGTTAATCGACCTTCAAAGGTCTTCGGATATTTAATGAACATATAATTAAAACACCAAAATACTAATTTAGAAAAAGTAAAATATGAAAGGTTTTCAAGTTAGATTACAGACTTACGCGGCAGCTCATTGTCTACATTGTTTTTTTAACTTTCCGAAATGAATATCCACGTTCTTCATGCTCATACGAGACACGAATCTTATCAGTGTTGAGGTAAACAAAACTAAGAAGTCTTTCGTGGAAAATTGAGACTGGGTAGCAAATAAATTAATTCGCGGCGGTAGACTTATGGAGGGCGAGATTCACAAAGAACGATAGTATGGAAAACCAAAAAACGCACATCATCACTAATTACGAGGTCGCAAGAATATTCCAGTTGTTTTACTAAAAGGAGGAGACGCGCACAAAGACTCTGATGTCTGAACGACTTCGAACATGCTGCCAGTCGAACACTTCAAAGGAGCCATCTAAAAGGTGGCAAGCATTAGGTACATAACTAGGCGGGTTTTCGCGGCTTTTCCTCCCGATTACTTCGTACGGATTTTTGATATGATCTCTAGACCGAATTCGATTACGGAATACCTGCATGGACGGCCTGGATAAAGAAGAACAGTGGCCCACTCGAGCCGATGCGAGAACGTGTGATAAACCTGACGGGTAGTCTTGGGACTCCGTCACCCCACGAAAGACTGATCGAGCTGAATCCGTTTTCCCTATCCTACACACTAATGAGCTACAACCGGCTGTGAACATAAGTATTCGACCAGATCTGGAGATTTCTTCAAGTTTACAAATGTGAGCTACCTGCGAAATCACTCTTACGAGGTTAAATGCGAATAAATGCGTCCAGACCGACGGAAGTTTTCTTTCAGTCAGAATATATTTCGAGCGTGGAAGTCACTCCCATGTGAAGTAGTGACATTTCATGCCTGTTCTCAAATAATAAACATTTAAATGGACCAAGTGTGCCTTTGCTAAATAAAGTCTCAAAGTCCTTTAAAAATTTCTTCAACCTTCTTTGGACCTTCTCCACCAACATATGGTCTTTTTCGGTCTTTTGCCCCACGAAATGACTGCAGGTTCCAATTTCGGACGAACAAATGTCTCATACATTCTCAGAAACTTCCTTATCTATACAGATGGAAGTTCCTTTAACTGGCCAGAGAGAACGGGTCATTCTTTCGGCGGGCCTGACGCTTTAAGACAAGGACTTTTGGAATGAAAACCGATGCTTTTGATGTGGTTTTGTTTGGTCACATTGGACAAGCGCCTTGGAATTTGTGAGAACCGCCTTTTACGCTCCCTTTCGTCGTTCCGAGCCTCAGTGTAACACATTCGACACGGCTTAGCTTTAGTGACCATTCATCAGAAAATTCACAAGCGGATAGGCCCTTGTTGCAAAGTCAGTTCATCATTATTGCATTTGATGTGAAACACTGTCAAAACTCACTCTGAACTAAACGTAAACTGCATCTTCTGATAGACTAACATCAAAGATTTCATTTAGCTTATCATGAATATGAGCGATTTACGAGACATCATCGACTTTCAAACCTATGTTTACGCACATTAATTCCGTATACGTAAGGGAGATAAGCATAGCTTTTGAAAACCCTATTTACGGACATAGACTGAAAAAACGCACACATGTTTACCTAGACATACGGGTGCATTTTAACAGTTCTTATCAAGCATAATTGACCATCATACAAAATGCCACCCAGTCTCCATTTAAATGTCTCAACGCTTTCTGCCAGAATAACTGAATTGGGCAGTTTGTTCCAATCCTTAATCACGCGGTAGGAGAAAAATTTCGCCCAAACTTCAAACTTGGCGCACTTCGTCTTCAACTTATATCCGTGACCTCGGAGATTTGTCGTTTGTGCCAGTTCAAAAATCGGCCAATTTGAGTGCGCAATCTACTCTGACAAGTTTGAAGACCATGATCGTGCCCCTTTTATATTGCCCAAAGGAGAGAGGGAAAGATTTGAGCCCTTCTATCCGTTCCTCATAAGTTAGGCGCTTCAGCCCACCGACTAGTTTGGTCGCTCATCGTTGCACCTTCTCCAATAGAGTGCAATAATGCCTGAGTGTAGGACTGCCTTACCCAGGAGCGCCATACCTGAATGCTATATTCCAAAAGCGGCCGGATAAATGTTCCAAACTTTCGTCCGAAATGCTCTTCGTCCAGGATGCCCATAGCCTTCTTTGCTATCATGTCGCAGTGAGACGAGAGTTTAGAGTTGACGTTATCCACACACCAGGTTCCCTATGCCTAATTTACAGGTTCGAGTTCGTGATTGCTGAGTAAATAGTGTTACTCACATCCAAATCCTTTCTGTTACTAAACATTAATCTGGTGAATGGACATTTGTTGAGATTGAGGTGGAGATGCCAATCACCACACCACTGTTGCAGTCAAGCTGTTTTTTGCCTGTTTAGCACGTCCTCTGGCTGTTCGGTCGAACTCCACATCTTCAAATCATCAGCAACCATAACGTTCTGGCAGGTTTGGCAGTCTAGGTCATCGTTCACATATCAAGAACAGAATAGGACCCAGGACACTCCCCTGTGAAACACCGCTGCGTACGGTTTCCAACTCCGATTTGGCATCATCAATGGACACATGCCGACGTCTACCTGTGATGATGTGGGTCAACCACTTGAGAATGTTTCCAGTCACACCCGTGTGGCGCAGTATACATATGAGCCGTCTGTGTGGCACCCTGTCGAAGGCTTCGTTAAAGTCAGTGCAAACTGCATCTACTGGCAAACCCATCTCTAACGATTTCGTCCAACTTTCGACGGATATGAACGGGCAAGTGTAAAAGGATCGATCACCTCTAAATCTATGTTGATGCTCACTAAGCAAACTGCTCGCCTTAATATGCGTCATCAGCTCCCTTTTCACTATTTTCTGCATTATTTCGCAACAAATGCTTGTGAGACTCAATGGTCCGCAGTTATTTGGCGAGATTCTTTCCCCCCTTATATATCAGACTAATATTGGCTATCTTCCAGTTAAGTGGCGAAGCCCCTGCTTCCTTGGAACATTGGAAGATCTTGGATACTGGGGAAGCTAGTTGGTTTGCGAGTTCATGGAGAACTTTTGCGGATATACCATTCGGACCAGGCGATTTAGTGGGTTGCAGCCGTCTCAGAAGCTTTCTTGCTGCGCCTGTTGTGACGTCACTGTGTAAATTTTTATTTCAAGGTGGGGCAGTTTGACGATGTACTTCCACATCAGAAAGCGACTCCTCGGTATACACGGATATGAGGAAATCGGATAAGAGCTTAGTCTTATCTGAGCTATCGGTTAATTTATTTCCCTGATAATTGTTGAGACAATGAATGGAGTCCCGATAACGTTTTGCCCTATTTCCGTAAGAGAAGAATTTCTTTGAATTTTTCAGTACTTCTTTCACTATTTTTGATTCAAATGCTGCTCTTTCCTTTCTCAGGAGACTCCGACACCTTTATCTTTGTTCCTTATAATCCGACAGACTTTTTTACTATGGGCATTTGGTTTATGTTTCCCGCAGTCTACTTTTATTTTTGAGATTTCTTTTTATTTCTAATGTCACCTATTCTGGGCGGGCGACGCTCTTTCCCTTTTTTGAGTGGGCAACAGTGTTCTACCAAGTTCCAGATCACGTCCCTTATGAAAACAATGGCAGCGTTCGGGTCATATACATGCGCAGGGTTCCATTCGATATCAGTCAGCCGTTCTTTCATTTCAGAATAATTCCATTTCCATATATTTTACGCTCCCAGCATACTCGCACATGAATAAATTGAAAATGGATATCATCTGGCCGGAGTTATCCGATATTAACAACTCTCGGAGCTTGCCCAAAACTCCGTCTCTAGGAAGACTCCCTGAAAGGTCAATTAAAAATGAAATTCTTGATTTCTGACCATCCAATCAGATTCCAGTCTCTAATCAGCATAGTTCTCTGGAAACCTGCCACTTGGCCTTACTTCATCTAATCATCTCGCTCCATAACGAACGGTGTGCAGTGGTAGTTACCTACTTTCCCCTTAGTAAATTTTGGACAAATTGCGACATAGACGCCTTTTGGTAAAGTCGGAAAGTCTCTGCACCCGGCCTCCATTACTCGACTTCATCGGGTCCTACCTATCCAACTGCCCTCAAAAAGTCGTGGTCGGTAATAGGTAGTCGACACTACGCTTTAAAAACTCTATTGATTACGTGTCTATTCGTCAGAAATAACTTTGCCGAGCGTTATGTCTTTTGGGGAGCAAGAAGGACATTTTCAATCGCTTTCCTCACAGGAAACAGTTGGTTCTGCATCAGAAACTGGATTCCATAACGCAATGCTTTCTACTACCCTCAACCTTGCAGTCATCCTTGCCCTTATTCTACCACTAGGACCATTTTCTTCAAACCTGGCGATTCTGCTGGCAATCTGAGCCCGGCCAACACAGCCTAGAAATTTGAAGCATTTTTTCCGGGGTATGAATTGATAAAAAGCATGTACAGCAGAATTTATTGGGGCCAATAAATTTCGTGACGGCTTTTCAACTGCAGCCCGTCTCTGCATAACATAGGTAACGAATGAAAGCGCACAGCAGTATGAATTTGTACATAATGGCAGTGCATAAGAGCAAGGTCAAGGTTCAAGACAATGAATAATCAGATAAGACGTCCACATAAGCATCATATAGGAAAGAGGAAGACGAAATGTTAACAACAAATCACAGTCAGGGGAAACTAGAGGTGTGAGAATACCAGGGCAACTGCAGATTGATCACGTGATCTAACTGCTTGCACAGGTCTAGTTTCTCCCTCCGTATGTATGCTGCTTCCAAATCACGCAAGGTTCGAGTTGTATGCGCTCGAACAAGTACTCGAAAAGATGCTTTAGTGTCGACAACATGACCGCTGTCTAACTGGTGTTTCGTTATAGACGAACGCGGGGGTTTGTTTTCCTGTTTGAAAAGCCAGTTAAGCAAATGCTCGGCGGCCCTTGTTGCCAATTGCCTTTGCATACGCCCAATGATGAACGTTAATCAGTGACCGTTACATACTTCGACAAATTGCGACATAGACGCCTTCTGGTAAAGTCGGAAAGTCTCGGCATCCGGCCTTCACTACCCGACATTATCGGGTCCGACCTATCCAATCGCTATGAGAAAATCGTCGTTGGTAATATGTACTCGACGCTTCACTTTGAAAATCCTCTTGATAACGTGTCATATCGTTAGAAAAAACTACACACGAACAATTAAAATATTCGCTATTAAAACGGAACTTGATTCATTTGAATAGCATTGTAAGGGCGACGTAAGCTTCTGGGGTCTCGGGGAAATTAGCTCAGGTTCAGACTGCCGACGAAAAACAGGGGACACCAATAATCCTCCAAGCGTTTCTTGAAGAGTTGCAGAGACGTCGGCTTCACTAGTGAGTGGGGGAGATCGGTCCATTTCTCAACTACCCTTTGCGTGAAAAATTCAGAACAAAGATTCAGCCTGGACATTGTTGTCCGTAACTTCATCGAGTGACAACGAAGATTGGGTGAGAGGTGCCACCGAAACATGTCCTCGAAGCTAAGTCAATGCTCATAGCTATGTATCATCTTGTAGACGAGGATATGATCACCTCTTTGCTGCCTGTCACACAGAGGGAATAAAGTAAGGCAATACAGTCTTTCTGAGAAGTATTAGTTTTTTAGACCGTTTGCCAGCTTTGTTGCACGACGCCGTACCCTTTCGAGGCCTGATTGTTCCCTTAATAGCCATAACCGCCACGCTTTTATGCCATATTCTAAATGGGGCCGAACAAAAATGTCGTAAACTCCTCCAAAAAGGTCTTGATCAAAGGTAACGAACGCCCTTTTGTTTGCATGCAGCACTCCTATGGCATGTTCTGCAGCCTTGTTGCACTGCAGTGCTGATTTCGTATCGCTATGTATCCAAGCACCCAGATCCTTCTGTGAAGATTCTGCGGGGAATCTTATATCATTCAGATTATATGTCCTCAGGGTCTCATTTGAATGAGAGTTGGTTGGACGCAGATGAAGGACGGCCCACGTCTCCGCATTGAAATCTAGAAGTCATTTCTCCGACCACGCTTACAGTCGGGGCAGGTGATCTTGAAGGGATCTCTGATCATTCGGACTCTTAATGACTTGCCAGAGCTTAATGTCGTCAGCAAGCATTATTTTACCGCAGTCGAGTTGCTGGAGGCTATCATTAACATGTAGGATGAAGAGCAGTGGTCCCAGAAATGAGCTTTGAAGCAGACCACTAGTCACTTCCACCAAGTCTGATATATCATATGCGATACAGGCACGCTGTTTCCGACCAACCAGAAACGCCCTAATCCGGTTCTGAAAATCTCTCCGGATGCCTATGGCGCTCAAATTGTGAAGAAAACGTTGGCGCGGAACAGTATCGAAAGCTTTACGGAAATCAATACACATTTTATCGACCTAACGATCCTCTTCTAAAGGTCTGGTGCAGATCTCCAGACAAATTAACAGATTTGAAAGGCGGGAACGTCCGCTCTGGAAACCAGGTTGAAAATCCTGCAATCTGCTATTTTCTTCACAAAACTGCTGTGTACCGCTCTTTACTATAGTTCCCATCGTTTTTCATGAGAGGCAAGTTAAGCTAATAGGCCTGAAGCTGCTTGCTGCCATCCCACTACCGACCTTATGTAGGGGAACGAGGTTAGCTGTCCTTCACTGTGATGACAGCCTTCCCGTTCTCATTGACAGCTCAAGGAGAGTCGAAAGAAACTTTGACAGCTCCGCTGATAGCTTCTTAAGTATCAGCCCGAAAATTCCGTCTGGTTCTGGAGACTTATCTGGTTTTATTTGACTGAGAACGCGTCTTACTTCTTAGACGCAAAAGGCAACGGTTTCACTGACGGCAGTATCTGGGCGCATTTGAAGCTCCCGGCTGTCTCGGTCCATTTCGAACTGCTTATTTTCTTCTGAGGACTCCTCCGTAAAAACCGATTAGAAAAACTGAGACAGTAATTGCACTTTCAGAGGCTCTTCAGAAAATAAGTTTTCGAGGCTATTCTTTAGACACGCAATTCCGTCCCTATGTTTTCTCCTACTGCGGACGTATCGATAAGAGTTCTTGGGCCATGCAGTTTATTCTGCTGTCAGTTAACGCTCGAAAGAAGTTCTAGCAACCCGTATTTTTTTAGCGACATTTATTTTGCTGCTCCTTATATTTAGCGAATGACATTGGATCTCGAATTAGCAAATTTTGAAAGTGTTTTGCACTAGACAGTGTATTCACAAACTCTGCTGCATGCTTCTTACGCATACTTCTTTCCCTTTCTAACTTCTCGTAATATGTTTGAGGAGAAGTCTCCTTTCGCGAACAGTGCAGATCAGGTCATTATTGGGATTCGGTTTCACTGTGTCAACGCAGCCTTTTAAAGTCATGAGGGGATTGAAGATCACTTTTTCGTGGTATTTACCAATAGAGTCTGAAAACGAACGATATAAACGAACATTCCAAATTCAGGTAAAGACGCCGGAAATTGGAGTTACAGCCACCCATATCCCTGTTTCTATTGTGTCTTCCTGAAGGACGTTTATGTCACTTCTGAATACACGGTTTTTTCATGGAAGTTTTATCTGTAACTAGGATAAAAAAAGATCAATTAGTAGTTCTTAAACTGGGAAGGGAGAATGAAAAAACATTGGTCCAATGGTGTTTTTGGCTGGATAAACTGCAATCAGGTTACCCGTAAACACTTAACAGTTATTATGTTATTTCATAAAATTTATACTGAAACTCTAGAATTTTCCGACTCGAAAAGATTACGTAAGTAGAAATCAAATGTAAGTTATCGTGCAGCATAATCCAAAGATGCTTCAGCCCGAAGGTGCTGTCCCTTACATAAGGTTCGTTTCGGACGTCTGAAAAACTGAAAATAGTGTTAATTTTTCTCGTCGATTTTCGATGCACTGATAAGTTCAGGCATATTATATTGCAGCCATATACAAAATTTCCCTCCTTGTATTCATTCGGTAGCAATTGACGAGTTCTTTAAATTTTGTACATGTAAAGAAACTATCATGCGGTTTTCAAAAGTTCTTTCACTTTCTGAATACCTTTTTGTATCGCACTTGCTCTGAGGGTTTCCAAGCCACATCTATATATCTATATATATAAAAATGGAAGGGTTTTTTTTCCTGTGTTATATGTAATCTCCGAAAATACTCCACCGATTGCTTTGAAATTTGGACACAGCACAGCCGGCGCAAAGGGCCGGGTTTTTGTCTGTTCAATTTTGTAATTATGCCGATGGTATGCCTGTGATGGGTAAAAAACCGGATTTTTTCCGGCATAACAACACCGCCTGCTGCGGCCACTTGACCTACATCCGCGCGCGGACACATGTGCGCCCAGACTACGGCCACTTGATCGACATCCGCTCAAACGCACGTGCTCCGCCCGACAGCCGCGCTCACCCCACCACCCACCCTGCGGGGACTTGAGTAGGCCCTCCACCCTCTCTGGGCCGATGCAGTATGGGCCGCCAGAGCAAAACACAGCACTTGGACGCCACTTAAAATTGTCCCACAGTCCATATAATAGGGCCGTCACCGCTGCCTCAGGGATTCTCGGGGGTGAGGACTGGATGCAATTAACACCAGACCCTCCCTCTCCCCCCACAACCCACATAATGGGGCTGTTACCCAGTGTCAGCCCAGTATTGTGCAGCTCGACTTGCGGAAGCCCGTTTGCGATCACGGCTACCGCGTTCCGCAGCTTCAGGCCTGCTTCGCTCACAACAGGATGAACACAGCCAACTGGGAGTGGCCGAATGGCGCCAGCGAGGAACAGCAGACCAGCGTCAATCATGACTCCGTGCTCAGTATTCACACAGCCTGATGCTGTTGTAAACGACGGTACGCCAACAACCGTTAGAAGATTAACGATTTTAGGGTAAGTTGATACCATATATACCGGCAGTCGGAGAACGATTCCAACGCAGCATCCATTTACTTATCGGGATTGTACCGATGAATATCACTTCAACGTTAAGCTGATAAATCCAGTCACCGACGAGGTAACACACATGAAATGCAGAGCAATGAACCACTACTCCTACCGACTTATTATACGACAGAATGTTAGTAATCCCCTTTTGAAATGCCGTAAATTGCTTCATCACTGCATTGTGGATATCTATGCAAAAATCGAAACTGAACGCCGGCTTTCATTCGCTTAAATCAGAATAAGCTGCTCTCTGAAGGATACATTCCTTTGTATGATGCAGTTGTAAACGACGGTTATACAGATAACGTTGTAAGACTAAAGCTTTTGTCGTCCGCATACACAGAGAGTCCACGCCATATGTTCGAGTACGCTCGAGGTTCCAATTGCGTACGCTTGTCAGTACGGACGTCCAGACCTACTCATTACATTCACATGCAATCCAGCTTGGGGGGGATATTTAGCAGCTCTTACTTCCTGGGCTATCGCCGATGAACAGGTATGACATCACAGCACGTATTTTCAGGAAGAAACTGCAATCGCTGATGAACTTCATGGTGAAACACGAGGTGGTTGGGTCTGTGCGCTGCTGGATGTATTAGGTGGAACGGCAAAAGAGGGGACTGCCCCATGCACATGTCCCGATCGGGCTCTATAAAAAGATCGCTTCCAACGAAATCAACGACACAGTATGCGCCGAATTACCTGATATCGACGTCGAAAATTATTTGCATGAAATTGTGGCGAAGAATATGACACATGGACCTTGGCTGCACTGAATCCCAGTTCTCCAACCCCCCCCCCCTCCGGCATGATAGACGGAATTCCCTTATACCGAAAATGATCAGCGGAAGACATCGGCAAATTGGCAACCGTACGAATGCGAATCGGTGACATAGAAGTCGGTAACCGCTGGGTTGTTTCGTATTCGCTTTTGCTTTTCAAAGCAAACGCAGCTCACATAAACGTGGAACACTGCAATTTTGGGAAGGGAATTAGGAACATTTGTAAGTACGTGAATAAGGGCAACGACACGGCCGTTTTCGGCCCGCAACACAAAAGGAGATAGAGGGATGCGGACATACAACACAGAGAAATCGCACAGTATTGGGCCGGAAGATGCGTCAACGGCAAGAAATCCATGTGGCGAATTCTTTCATTCCCCATCCATGAGCGAAGTCCAGGTGTTGTTCGCTTGCAGTACAGTTGGATAATGGGTAATGCGTTTACTTTACCGATGTAAACGCTCAACAGGTTGCCTTAGGTCCACTGGCAACAACATTAACTGCGCTCTCCACGTTAAGCCAAAGTGACGCGTTTGCGAAAACACTGCCGCATTCGAAAGTGCCTACGTATTACACAGGGAATGTGTGTAGAAAATCATCCGATCAACGCAAACGAGGAGAGTGAGTGGACGGACACCCCCGCATACTCAAAGGAACTGCGATAGGTAGACTGCACACCGCGCATCCCAATCTTACTTCGCATGGTGTTGATGAATGTGCCACGTCCAACGTCTTTCCAGCAATTAAAATCTGCCAACGGCACTACGCATGCTACTTTCAGCAGTGCGTTTCAGACTCCTCAGTTACTGGAGAACGATCAACAGTGGGACGCATGTATTAATGACGCCTGCAAAATGTCCCATTCACATCAAATTCATGCATTGTTTGCAGTCATATTGATCGCATTCTCTTCTCATCACCCACAGATTTACCGAAGAAATAGAATTTGCACGTGGCTGAAGATACCTTCCGTCAACTATGCAAGGAAAATTCAAAAGTGGTATTCACAGCAGGAATTTACAGCGAGGCATTAATACTGATGAAGGATATGTACGCAGAAATCGCGAACAAAGTTCTTAATCAACTGGGAATGTCACCGCAAAACCAGTCTGCTGCTGCTTCATTCGATGTGGATGGGCGTCATGAGCGAAATGGAACAAGGTTCATTTTCTGCCATGCTTGCAATCAAACATTCACAAGATAAGACTGGAGCAGAATGACATTTACGATCAGATACTGCGGAATGTCAGTAACGGGGTTGGAGGAGACTTCTTCCTGGATGCGCCAGGAGGGACTAGCAAAGCGTTCCTACTACTACCGATTCTGACGGCAATTCGATCCAATAAATGACAAAACCCTAGCACTTGCATCCCCGGAATAGCTGCAACTCTGCTACCTGGCAGAAAACCCGTTTATTCAACTTCTAAATTGCCTTAGAACGCGCAATTCATTGAAACCCCCGCGTGTAACATTTCCAAAGCATCCGGCATGCGAAAACTACTGCAGAAATGCAAACCTATTGTTTGGGATGAATGCACAATGGCGTAAAATGCGCTCTAGGCCCCTAATCGAACACTGCAGGATTTGCGAGGAAACAGCAGACCATTTCTGATGCACTGCTACTGCTTGCAAGAGACTTCATGCCACCACTGCCTCGATCGACACCGGTGGACGAAATAAATGCCAGCCGTCACCACTTACTCCGGAATTCTCGAGCGCGACTGGGTGCAGCAAACAATTGCCCAGTCTTCGACAGCTGCTAGAAGGGCAATCCTGGGTTTCGCACACAATACGTACCACCAACCGGTGGCTTTTACATTTTCCTTAATTGAGAACGTGCTCCTTCCTCTTTCCCTTATTTCCCAATTCATCAGATTGAGCCACAGCAACGCGTGGCGAGATCCGGCTAGTGCTGCATACATACCTTCAAAGAAATATCACAAGGCTCTTTCAGCTTTTATGAAGATGTTGTATAACACCAAGTTGCACACTTAATAAGTTGCACTCATCCACGTATTAGCGCGATGCTGTATGAATGGACATTTCATAGCCTTAAAAATCCCAAAATTAAAACCAAGAGATACCTTCTTGTTAAGTGGATAATTTGAAAATGACAACATTCGCTATCACATGAACGCAAAAGAATAGTGTGTGCATGTTTTCAGCACAATAAATTTGAACTGAAAAGGACACTGAAAATCAAACTAAAAGCATCACACTATTAAGCAGTTATTTTTTACAGAGCATCATTTCTCCAGACGGCATAAAGGCAGAGCATTCAAAGGCCAGAATCTTGACGTGACTGGAATATCTTAGGATTATGTTGTAATTAATGCAACAAATTTACATAAATAGTCTTTTCAAATTCAGAACATATTTAGAATTTCAGCCAACATTTCATGAGAAAGTGCATCTACTGTATATTATTACAGCTTGTAAACGCATGCATCACATTAAGTTTTATGAGGGATTGTGTTATTCACTCCCCGAGTTGGATGCCATAAATACCGAATAAATACAATCACGCTCGAGTGCTGTACGAATAATTGCAAAGCCTTTCCGTGGCGCGCTATGCGAACCTCTATTTTCAACCCCTTAAATGATGAATACTGTCAGATTTTAGAGCGTGTATTGCCGCATGGATTGTTGTAGGTCAGCCTGCCCATGGCAAAGTGTTTACATTGGAATTTCAAATCTGAGGCTTCCGAAAGATCTCTCTAATTCGTAGATGAAGGTCGATAAGCACGTCTATCCTCAGCCCACGACTTTAGTGCATCTGCACTTGCGACGGCAGTTATCTGACACATCAGTTAGACACAGACTCAAAGAGATTGCAAAATCCGAGACCAAAATCCTCAGTACCTCCATTTCTAACGATCCAGCAGACAAAGGTGGTTGAGTTTAATGATGAAGGCCCCTGATTGAGAAGACCTCAATCAATATCTCAAATCATGTTGAATCGTTTTTGATTAGGGGCAACACCTTGATGAAGCACTTTTTAAAAAAACAAAGTATTGTTCTTACGTGGCAAACTGGTATTTTTGCGTCGGTCAAAAAATTGACAGCGGCCTAGGGTTTTAAGACGTTTAAATACGCTGATCGTTTATGTTTTGCAAAATACCACGGGAGCCTAACCACTGTTTACTACTAGAGAACATTTTTTAGGGTTTAAGTAAACATCTGCCAGCTAGTAGCTTATAATGCGATGTCGATACGTTACACACTCTCGTTCACATTTTAAAAATTTCTGTCCTGAAGTTGTTAGAAACAGGTGTGAATTATACAACGATAGCTTGCGGTCGAAAAGGATGTTTTTAAATGCGTCGGTAAAAAATCGATCTGAGTCACCATGTCAGTAAGTTTCCATGAAATGCGTGCAAAGAGCGATATTCTTACGCACTGTAATCGTTAATTGACTTCAAAAGAAAGCCCCAGAAAACTAGAACGACATGGATACAACGAAGTCAGACATGCCCTAAACATGACATTTTGGATCCATAAAGAGCGCGCAACGTACCTCTATCTGCAATAGAGCAGAATGTGAGCTTTAATCAGCACTTAGAATGACACCACTTAATCCTGGTCGACGAATATGCCAAGTAGCACAGTCCTTTCCCTATTTTTCGACAGACAATAAGCGCCGTATTATTGTCGACAAAGTCCTGTAGTGCAATTTACTCAAACACAGCGCGCGATGCGTGATATCCCCTTCCTATGAACATATGTTTGTTTATTGGCCCGTGCCAACTCGAAGTCAGAACTCGTTTTGAATTCCTAAAACGGACAGCTTTTTTTCCAAAACCTTGTGGATGACTTCTGATTTGTAGCCAGATAATTTCGTAGTGGTGGAAGACATGTTGCTGTACCTCTTTATTAATATCCACGCAATGATTTATTTTTTGCTTGGGTCCGACTACAAATGATCCCCGTTCAGAGAAAACCTCTTATAAACTAGAAACTTGCGCATATATCTGTTTACTGTCACACTATACGGTAGCCGGTTTGAACAGTTATCGCCCTTTTTTTGCGAAAGGGTAGTTAATGTTTTATATGGAATTTAAGAATTTCGTAAATTCAATT